AATGGAAAAGTTAAAAGCACTGGAGAATGTTGGATATGGGTGTCATTCCATCCCAGTTGGCTCCTGGATTTATCCTCATTTCCTATACAATTGATGTGCTTTCATTAGACTTGGGGTCAGAGATCCCATTAAATCTGGATGTTATTCATTTATCCCTGTCCTCCTTTCTCAAATTGATGCTACCATTTTCTTTGTGGTTCCCTCTCTGACCTCCCAACTGTGGTGTTCTGGACAAAAGCCATTGATGATTCATGTTCTGGTTTGAATCTGCTTTTTATTAACAATGTTGTCTAAGAATCAGCTATCACGTTTAGAGTAACCTTTCCCTTTGGGTAGCAGGGATATGTATTTTCTTGGTTCTGGGAGTTGGAACAGGTTTGGCTCTAGTTTAGGGCCTCCAAAGGACTTGGGGGTTTCCAAAGCCTCCCTTTCCTATCTCAAAGTGGTTTCATCCCTCTCTTCTAGCCTAAGGACAACCTTACCCCTCTTTGCTTGAATTTTATTGTTGCTTATAAGATGAGCTTTCACCGTGTAGGCCCAGAGAGTGGTATTACCCAATCTCAGGCACTAAGCTACAGCCCATCTGGTAAAGTCTTCTGCTGTCCATCCTCCCCAGGAGGGCTGTAGTTCACATAGGAGGTCAGCAGCACCATCTAGCATCACTGCATTCCGTAGCACGTGTGCTCTTCCCCATTCCCCTTCCCAAGCCATAATTTCCCATTCTCTCCATTAATCTTCTTTGCTGGCCCACCCCCTACCTTCCCAGAGGGTTCAAGTTCAGTGGACAAGTTCAGAATATAATTACCAGGATGTGTGGGGGGGGTGTAGGGGGCCCAATGTAAACAAATGGGGCAGTAACAGGACTCCTGGGTCCTCTACGCCTACTCATAATGTGAGAATGATGAATTTTTTCCATTGAGTATAGTTAGGAACTCCTTGCCAGGGCAATGGAAAGGGAGGGTTTCCTGGGGGGCAATATTAGCCTTAAAGTATGTACTCATGGAGTTTTGTACTTCACAAAGTTCTCAGGTATGGTTTTGGCCCAGTGGGGTGGACTAAGCAGAGACTTTTCCCTTCATTTTGCAGATGAAGAAATTAATCTAGCAATTCAGCAAATATTTATTAAGCAGTATGTGCAAGGCACTGTGCCCTGGAGACAGACAAAACCAAAACACTTCCTGCCCTCAAGGAACATATATTCTACTAGATCAAGCCTCAGTGAGATTAGCTCTGCCAACTGCTTAATTGCTTGTGACCTTGCAAATTACTAACCCTTTCAGGCTTCAGTTTCCTTTAATAGGCAGCTAGGATTCATAGTGGATAGAATGCTGGGACTTGGAGTTAAGAACTAAATTCAAATCTCACCTCAGATACTTCCTAGCTTTGTGACCCTGGCCGGTTACTTTGATGGCTTTCAGCCTCAGTTTCCTCATCTGTAAAATGGGAATAATAATAGCACCTACCTTGCAGGATTGTTGTGAGGCTCAAAAAAGATAATCTATGTAAAAGTATTTTGTAAACCCCAAAGCAGAGAGAGATATCAAGTCCATGCAGCCCACAGAATTCCCAAAGTGAGGCCCAAATCAGATGAAAATATAATTGGGAAACATTTAACAAAATGCATAAAAATACAATTCAACATAGATAATGTTAATCTATGGTTTTCTAAGTCAGTATGTGGCTGCAGAAATCTGTTCTTTTTAAGTTTTACAGCAGTGCCTTAAGGCATTATGGAAATATTAGCTATTATAATTATCTTTGTCAAATGAGGGGGTTGGGCTAGATAGATTCTAAGTTCTTATTCAGGTCTAACGTTGTATAATTATTAGAATCCCTCAGGGTCATACAATGAGTTAGTGATAGAGTTAGAACTATGCCCAGGTCTCCTGACTTCCTCCCCAGGGCTTTATCTTATTGCCACTCTTTGGCCCTTCTAGATAATGTCCATTTGACCTGTTTGGTATCCACCCTCCTCTCCCAAAGACTTGGAGGAACTGGGCTCACTTCTTATCCAGCCCTGTCTTCCCAGCCCCCAGCTGGCCATGCCTGGACCCAGAGAGCAACTGTTATTTTCCAAAAAATCTCGCCCCCAAATGCCCTCTTAAAGAGCATCTATTGTCAGTTAGCCTTCAACTAACTAGCCTTCAACTAGTGTCAAAGCATGCTTTACCCTGTCCCCACTCACTCCATTCCTGCTTCTCTTTTTTTGGCTCTTGACTGATTTACCCTCTGTGTCCACAGGATACATCCAGAAGATTAAATCAGGGGAAGAAGATTTTGAGACTCTGGCATCGCAGTTCAGTGACTGCAGTTCAGCCAAAGCCAGGGGGGACCTGGGAACCTTTGGAAGAGGTATGTCATAATCACTTATCAGGACACCCCTGTCTCTTGGCCAGGTTGGGTCTCCAGGGTCCAGTAGGAAGCAGCGGTGAGGTGACACAAAGTCTAGCACTGGCTTGTAGGTACAAGAGATCTCCGATGTCAAAAGCACTCATCAGATTGAAGTATATAGGATAGCCTTCCTCATCAGAGGGAGCAATTTACTGGGTTAATTTTGGTTGACACTGGAGAGGTGGCTTCTAGCCAAACCTCCCAGAAGAATCTAGACCTGTGAGCCTGAAGATAAATTGAATTGGGATAAGGCAGGTGAGAGTGACCAACTTAGCTCCAGGGAGAGGAATCAGTACAGAGACTGCAGCACGGCTGAGCAGAGCCAGAGAAATGTACACATTCTGGGGCTATCCCTGCCATGGGAGGCCCAAGAACAAAGTGAGAAATTGGACAGGACAGGACTCAGGGATGGAAGTGTGGTAGAGTCAGAGGAGCTGGGTCCCAACTCTAACTCTCCTACTTACTACCTGAGTGGTCTAGGACAAGGCATTTGACTGGACTCTTTGGCCTCAGTTTCCTCATCTGTAAAAGGAAAGGGCTGACATCTCTGAAGTCCCTTTTAGATCTCCCAATTTTAAGAAGAGCTCATTTGTCGTTCCCCCCCCCCCCCCCCCCCGCTTCTTAGTGCTATATCTTTCTTATATCCAAAGGTTTCAGTCAGTCTTTTCAAAGAGGACTTCACAAAGATGGGGCCCACTAGCTGGCAACACACCCAACTCCAGCCCATTTTCCAATAGCATAGTGGTGGGTGAATGGGTAGATGTACATTCAGAAAACAGGATCTCCTCCCGTTAACATAGGTGGGCCTATCTCTCTTGAAAGACAAAGGGATAGTTCCTGGTGCCAGGATCCTGAAGACCTGTCTTTTTTGGCCATTCCCATCTGTCTCTATTTGAGAGACAGAGGAGTCTCAGATCCCCATAGATTCTAGGGCATTTTCCTTGGCTTTATAAAGAGGTATGCTGCATCTATCATAATGCTGTTTCTACATGGCCGAAACAACTCACCTTCAGGAGGAATCCTCCTCTTTGGCCAGGCCCGGGGTGTCTTAAGCTCTGTGATGTGAGTCAGGGGCAGAACTGATAGGGCTAATGAAATTGTGGGATAAAGAAGCTGTTGGCCTTGGCTGTGAGGATCTACAAAAGGTAGGAATGATAAATGACCCAGCAAGTGCTGGGAAGTGAGTCCAGAGAGATGAGTTCTGAAATGTGCCTTCAAAAATGCCCTACTGCTAGCTCCTGGAGCTATCCCTCATTCTGTCTCCTGGCTTTTCAGACTTTCCTTAATGACATTGCCAACCCAGGCCAGAGTCCCCATCTGCCTGCTGTTTGAGCTCTGTGACAAGGAACATAAACTCTGGTAGATGAATGGGGCTTTTAGAGAGTCAGGGAAAAGGGGGATTGGTATCCTCTTTAGATTCGAATTGCTGTGGTTACAGTGGTTGGTTCTTCAAATAACTATATAATAGCAGTATCCAAGCAATACCTGTCTTTCCTCTCACCCATCACCCCTTCACCTTTTAAAGGCTGTTACCCAAGACAGAGCCAGAGTAATGTAAGTACCTGTAAAGGCACAGTCCTCTCTCCTCCCATCCCACCCTCCCTTCTTCCTAGGCTGCTTGCTGACTTCCCTCCTAGACACTGTCAATATGACCTGTGTCCTCCACACTCCCTGCCTCTCTCCAGGTCAGATGCAGAAGCCATTTGAAGATGCCTCCTTCGCACTGAGGACGGGTGAGATGAGCGGCCCAGTCTTCACAGACTCAGGGATCCACATCATCCTTCGCACAGAGTAGGAGTGCCTTGGGTTGGGGATCAAGGGCAGGGGAAGACTGACCTCTGTTCGCCTGCCCCCAGACTCTCTCCATCCAGTCTACAGCTGCCTCTAAGAGCTGAGGTGGCTCCAAGGCATGGGGTGGGGGGGCAGGCCAGGGTTGGGGAACCCTTTACTTCCTATTTGGGGGCATCTTTTCCATTTTGTTTCAGCCTTGATGGTTCCTCCCTCTGAAAGGTCAGTGCTGGGACCCCTAGTGTTGCTGGTGTCCCTGTTCCAACTGAAAATACACAATATTTATTGTCCCCAGACTCTGAGATGCAGGGATCGGGGTGAGGATGAGCCCTGGTTTAGGTCTCCTCACCACCCTCTCCCCTCCACTACTTGAGGGCCTCTGTTAAATCACTCCACTGTGGTCAACAATGGCCCCTACCCAGCTCCACCTAACAGCCACTCTAGCTTCCATTCAGTCTGATCCTGCCTTCTGCATCTTAAGGAATTATGGGTCAGTAGCTGGAAGGAAACCACTTGGAAATGAGAGGGGACCTCAGCTGGGAGGGGGAAGGGCCTCAGTTATCTGAACTCCTATTGCAGCCAGAGCATCTTGGAGGGAGACTAAATTGCTGTTTCTGCTGCATTGCTTTGTTTAGTTAAAAGAAAATCAAAATCCTCAGCTTTAAGGCCAATGCAAGGCAGTTGTATAGTTCCTGTTCTTATCCCCTGGCTGTCCAGATGTCCCCTATTAAACCTTGTAAACAAGTTTCTCCTGTGTCTCATTACCTCCTCCCCACCCCAGGTTCATAATAACCAGAGTTCATGACCAAAACACACAGCAGCACCATCATTGAAGTTATTTTATTAGACTTTTAAAAAGGGAAGAGAGGTGCAGATTTGGGGGATGGGGTGTTGCTACCCTTATTGGTAATAAAGCTCCAGGTTCATTCCATCGTGGATCTCATCTGAGAGTATAAGTCAGAGAATCTGAACAGCTTGACTGGTGGCCTCACCAACCCACTCCCACCCCCCCTCCCCAAGCATCGGCAGGCTCTCCTAAGCAATCCTCCTAATCCCCCCTAGAGTTAAGCTCTTTGTGTTCTTCAAAGGATAGATCAGCAGTGTTGGGGAGGTAGGGGTAGGATCTGCACAGATAACTCCTCAAAAAGCTAGAGTTCCCTTCAGAGTTGTCAAATAAAGGATACAGTCTCCCAGAGTCACGTGGTCCTTGAAGATTGTGTACCTGGGATGGAGAGAAGGTTAGTTCTGCAAGAGGCTCCCCACTCTCAAGCCTCCTTAGCAATGCCAGGGCAGCCCCATCATCTTCCATTTTCCAGGAATGGGGATTATGGCATGGCCTGACCCCAGAGCCCAACACTGCCGCCCACCCAGAGGGCAGCTTAGATCCAGCACACCTGAATCAGCCCTGCCCGCACTCACCATTTCTTCAGAACAATCTTGTTCCAACGGGTGCCTGTCTGTGCAGCAATCAGTTTCTTCAAGTCTGCTATTGAGTCGTCGGTGCTGGGGCATATGTTAAGGCAAAAAGAAAGAGGGAAGCAGGCGAGCCCTGCCCGTGCCCAAGCCCCTGCCCCACCTCCCTCCGCCTTCCCACCAATAGGATACTTGCACTTCACACGGACCTTCTTACCCAGCCGATCGTTACACACAACCTCGATCATGGCTCTGGGGACCACAAAGGAGCTAATCAGTCTGGGATCGGGTCATTTCCTGCAGTCCGCCCCTGCCCCTTCTCTGTGCCTGGCCACCCGCAGCCTCCTGGTCAGCCTCTGCCCTAAATCTGGCCATCCCCAACTTCCCCGGGCAGCCCCTGAGCCCGGCCTGCCCATCACCCAGCCCTGGCCCCAGACACCCGCGGCCCCACCCTCAGGCCTGGCCCTCACCCAGGACGCGCCTAGCCGCTCTAGCTCCTGCCTCACAGAGCACCCACTACGACACCAGGTGTCTGCGCTTTACGGCCGTCGGGAAGCGGAAGCGTCTGCCGGGTTGCGATGGAGACGACTTAGGGGTGGTCGCAGTGGCTGCTAGTGTAGACTGCTGAGGGTGGAACTGCAGTCGTGTGAGCTCCCCCAGGCCTGGTTTCCGCCGGGGAATGGCCCCTCAAGTCTGCCCCACCTCGAGCACCTGGTTCTGGACCAGATCCCGGCCTTCTCAGACTCGCAGCTACGGGCCCTGCCTCGGCAAGGGGCGCTGTGCTCCCTGGTGTTGAGGGTCACCTACAGGGTGACCCACCAGGGGCTTCGAGACGCCCTGCCTGGCCTCGGTCACCTTCGGCGGCTGGAGCTGTGTGGATGCTCCGTGCCTGCTGATGGGGCCCTGCCGGTCATAGGAGGCTTCCTGCCCAGACTTCGGGAGCTCAGGGTGACTGTGGCCGGGCTCACAGCCAGGGGGCTGGCCAGCCTGGTGGGGATGCAGGCCCTAGAGACCCTGGGCCTCCTGGGACCACCCCCTACCCCAGATAAGCTTTCAGCCAAGGATATCCTCCCTTTCTGTCTCTTGTTGCCTAACCTCAGAGTCCTCAGCCTTCAGGGCATGGGACTGGGGTCAGCAGATGAGGCTCTTCTTAGGGAGGGACTGGCCCACTGTATGATCCAGAAGAATACTAGATTTGGAGTCAGGGGACTAAGATTCAAATCCTGACTGTGTGATCTTGAGTTTCCTTCTCAAAACCCAAGATTTTTCATACTTAAAATAAGGAGGTCCCTTCTAGCTCTAAATTCCATTTTCTTGATCAAAGAGTTCTAGGGCTCTTTAACATTTGTACCTTGGGGTAAAAAGGATGAAAAGGGTCTTGGAGGTCTCCCCAGGGACAGTGTACCTAAAGCCTTACCTAAATCTTCACCCCGAAGAAACTCTCCTACCTTTTCTCCCATGGAGACCACATCATCCCTTGAGACAGCAGAGGATACTTAGGGTTGAGGTTTGTCTTCCCCCTGGATCTTTTAATCCACTTGTTCAGCAAATCTTTCCAACCTTAAAGCTCCATTATTATGTTCGAGGCACTGTGCAGTGTGTTGAAGATTTAGTAACAAAGAATGAAACAATCCCTGATCTTAAGGAACTTACATTCTAGAGAGGAGAGCAACAAATGTGTTTATAGAAAGACAAAGAATAAAAATAAATAAAAAGTAAGTAAATACAAAGGGAAGGAAGGCAGTAGCAGTTGGTGGGATCAGGAAAGGCTTCATGTAGAAGATGGTGCTTGAGTTTTATCTCAAAGGGCTTCTATGAGTAGGCAGTGCAAAGACAGATGAGAAATGGAGTGAGAATCCAAGAAGACCAGTTTGATTGCAGAAGTGATGTACAATGAGACTGGAAAGATAGGTTAGAGCCAGGTTGTGAAGGGCTTTAAAAGCACCACAAAGGAATTTGTTTGATTTAGAGTAAATAGGGAATCCCTGGAATTTATTGAGTAGAGGCATGATATGATCAGATTTGGGATTAAGGAAAATTACTTTGGCTGCTGTGTGGAGGATGGATTGGAGTAGGGAGAGATGAATTAGGAGGCTGTGGTCCTGAACTAAGGTGGTGGCTAGTTGAGAAGAGAGGAGATAGGATTCTAGGTATATGGTAGAGGGAGAAATGGCAAGATTTGGCAACTGATTGTATATGTGAGTTGAATGAGAATGGGGAGTCCCAAATAATGCTGAGTTTATCTGAGTTGGAAGAAAACTGATATCCTTAGACAGAAATAGGAGGTTTGGATGAGACCTAGGAAAACATGAGTTTGAGTTTCTAGGACATATAGTTTAGAATGTCCAAGAGGTAGCTGGTAATATGGGACTGGAGCTCAGGGAAGAGACTGAACCTGGATATATATGCCTTCAGTTTACCTACATACATAATTAGACTCGTTGGATCTAATGAGGGCACAAGGAGAGTACATAGAAAAGGGCTTTCCAGCCTTCAGTTCTTGTTCCCCTCCTATACCCTTTGGCTTTTCAGTAAACCTTCCTATACCTTCTCTTCAATACAAAAGGAAATAAATTCTGGAGTTTACCATGCATGTATACATAGATTAATTAATTTTATTTCTCTAAAGGTCTACCAAAAATGTAATTTCATTGGTTGTAAATCTGGAAACTTCTAGAATACTTCAATGGGATAATATGTATTTACCACATATTGCCTTTTCCCTCTTAATTATTTGGGATCCTCTTGTGTAACAAGAAGAGAAGAGGGTCTGAGACAACCTTAGAGGAATATTCTTAGGTAGGAGGCATGATAAATCAGCAGAGAAGACATGAAGAGAACCAAGAGAGGGTGGTATCATGAAAACCCAAAGAGGAGAGAGTATCTGAGAAGGAAGGGTAGTCAACAATGTCAAATGCAGTAGAAAAGGATGTAGACAGAAAAAACCATCCGATTTGGTAATTAATGTTGATAGCTTTGGAGAGAGCAGGTTTGACAGTGGATTGCAAAGAGTTTTGGAAGGAGAGGAGAGGAAATGGAGGTAACTGGCATAGACAGCTTTTTCCAGGAGTTTAACTGAGAAGGGAAAGAGAAATATAGGTCAATAGCTTGGCATGGTTGGGTCTGATGGGTTTTTTTAAACACCTGCTAGGCAATAATTGCTTGTTGGTTGAATAGGCAAATTAGGGGAGGAGACGCTGTGGAAAACATTGTAAGTGATGCAATCTCAATGAAGCAGTCAGTTAAAAAGTATTTATTGTTCACTAAGAGGCTAGGTGGGCAGTAGATAAGAGCACTGAACCCAGTTAGGAAGAACTGTGTTCAGATCTAGTCAGGAAGACGAGTTCAGATGCTGCCTCAAACACGTGACTGTATGACCCTGGGCTGTTCAAAGCTACCTGCCTCAGTTTCCTCATCTGTAAAATGGGGCTAATAATAGCACTTAACTGCTGGGGTTATTATGAGGGTCAAATGAGCTAATAATTATGAAGCACCTTGCAAACCTTAAAGTGCTATGTAAATGCTAGCTATCATTGTTATTACTGTGTGTCAGGTACTATGCTAGGCACTGGTATCCAAAGAAAAAAAATCTCCCTTTTTGGAGGCAGCAATATCTAATACGAGTTTATACAAGAGAAATACAAGATAATTTGTGGGAAAGGCACAGCAGCTGGTGGATTATGCAGGGCCTCAGACTATTTTCAGTCTATCTGTCCTTACCAAAGAAGGCCTTCAAAGGATAGAAGATAAACATGGAACAGCTTGTTTCTCCCAAAGATAGGGCCTAAGGGGGCCCCCAGAGCTTCAAGACTATGGGGTCTTGGGTGGATATGTCAATAGGTATGGGGGCAGCAACAATGAGCTGAGAAGCAAGTCCCCCCCCCATCCTTTTCAGTGTTTGTGTCTGCCTGAAAGACAAATAAATAAGATTGGGAGAAAGAGGAATCAAACAATCCGATCCCTGACTCCCTTCTGGACTGATGTTCCACATTTGAGGTAGGAACATAGGATGGTACACTGGTACTGTTCTTAGAGCTGTGCTTTTGAATTCTTATATTAATGTATCTCTTTGGGAATAGGATTAAGGTCATCCAAGAGGACCAGGTATACCTTAGTCAAGCATCTAGAGCACTCGAGTCCATAATTACCCCATTAGCCTTTCTTTATTCTGTTCTTGCCCTCAGGTTTTCCCATTAAAAACAGGTCTTTTAAAAAAAAAAAAAAAAGACCTTAGAGCTAGGAGAACTTTGGTCCAGTCCACGGAGGTGGAAAACTAAAGTCCAACAAGAAAAAGATAATTGTCTGAATGTTCTGAGTCTGTGCAACATCATAATTAGTACTTTCCCTCTACTTTAAAGAAGAGGTTGAGGGAGGGGAAGGTTTACCTTTCAATCCTTACTTAATTTTCCACACCTGCTTTACCCTACTTATGTCTTTGCCCCTTGTAGGCCCGGTCATCTAGTTGGTGCTTAACAGCTATGAGGCATTTATCTAGGTATTATCTGTTTCCTAAGACATAAAGAATCGGGAGTGAGATAAGGGATCCAGGCTCACTCCCCATAACACAAGTGATCCTGTCAGGAGTGCACAGTCCCTTGGGCCAAGGTCTTAGAGACCTGACTGTCTCCCTATCAGAAAGGTCAATTAACCCTTTCCAGCAATACAAGGATCTAAGACATCTCCAAAGGCCTTGTGATGGAAAATGTTATCCACATCCAAAGAAAGAGCTATGGTATTTGAGTGCAGATTGAAGCATACCATTTGCAATTTTTTTCTCTTCTGTTGAGTTTTGTTTCCTCTTTCTGGTGGTTCCTCCTATTGGTTCTAATTCTTACTTATAATATCACTAATGTGAAAATATGTTTAATAGGAATGTATATGTATAGCCTATATCAGATTGAGTGCCATCTTGGGGAGGGAGGTGGAGAGGGAGGGGGAGAAAAATTTAAAACTCAAAAGCTTGTGGAAGTGATTGTTGATAAATCAAAATAAATTAATTTAAAAAAAAGTTAAATGATCAGGCTTGGGGCATCTCAAACCACTTTCCTTGGTGGGGTTCATCCATTTGTATTGGGGGGACAGCTTTTTATTTGTCTTTATTAGAGACACAGCATCAGAGACTTTAATACTGGGGGGGTCCTTAAGACCCTTTCAGGGTGTCTGAGAGGTCAATACTGAATTAATATTAATTTATAATGATAAGATGTTTCAGTTTCAAATATGGTAAATATGCCAAATATAACTCACATAAATACTCTTGGGGGGGGTGGTCCTCAATAATTTTTAAGTGTAAAGGAGTCCAGAGACCAAAAAAATCTGAGAATCATTGGCCTAGACTGTTTTCCCTGCTTTGTAAATAGTAATAGGTCAGAGTGGAAGGGCCTGCAGTAGAACACAGCTGGGTGGTATTAGGCCAGGTTTAGGGGCAGAACTAGATAGGGCTGATGAAATTATGGGAAGAGGAGTCCCGTTGGCCTTGGCAGTGGGAAACTAGAGGAGGTGGGAATGATGAATGACCCAGCAGGTGTTGAAGAGTCCAGGCATATGAGTTCATCACTGAAATGCGCCTTCAGAAATGTCCTTCTGCTAGTTCCTGGAGCCATCCCTCATTCTGTCTCTTGGCTTTTCACACTCTTCTTAATGACACTGCCAACCCATGCCAGAGTTCCCATCTGCTTCCTGTGACAAGGAGCATAAACTCTAGCAGATGGATGGGGCTTTTAGAGAGGAAAGAAGAATGAAGATGGATAGGTATTCCCATCAATTTATAGTTGTTGTGGTTAACAGTAGCTGGATCTAGTAATATCTATGCCATACCTGTTAATTGTGGAGGTTCTTCAAGGCTCTGTCCTTGGCCCTCTTTTTCCCCTAGACTATCTCATTTGGTAATCACAGGTTTATCATCTCTATACAGGTGACTTACCAGATCTATATATCACTAATTTTGTACATCTTGACTTGTATGTACTGTAGCCTTCTCAAACTCAAATGTCTAAAACAGAACTCACTACCTTTCCCCCAAACTCACCCCTCCTTGACTCCTATTACTATCAAGGACACCTATTTTCCCTCACCTGGATATCATCCTAGATTCTCACCCCCCATTTCTAGTCTCTTGCCAAATCTTGTTCTTACCTTCACATCTCATAATCCCCTTTTCCCCACTCACACAACTGCTACTGTAGTCCTAACTGGTCTCCCTGACTCAAATCTCTCCTCACTCTAGTCCATTCTCCATTAAGTTGCCAATGTGATTTTTCTAAAGTGTGGATTTGACCACTTTATGGCCCTTGCTTATCAAAGTCCAGTGACTCCCTATTATTGGCAGGGATAACTATAAACTCCATTGTTGGGCACCTTCCTCCTTTCTCAGTCTTCTCATCTGCTCTACTTACATTCTTATTTTTTTTTTTCATTTTTAGGCAATTGGGGTTAAGTGACTTGCCCAGGTGACACAGCTAATAAGTGTCAAGTGTTTGGTCTGAGGCTGGATTTGAACTTGGGTCCTCCTGACTTCAGGACCGGTTCTCTATCCACTTCGACACCTAGCTGCCCCTCTACTTACGTACTTATAACACTGGCCAACTTGTAGTTACTCCAGCACTACAGCCCATTCCCTTTCCCTTTGTACAAGCAGCTTCCAAGGCCTGGAACGTATAAGGCACATGCTCAAATTCTACTTAACCCAGCAGGCCTTTCTTGGTCCCTTTAGCTGCTAATGCCTTTACCTCTCAGAGTGCTTTCTACCTACCTATCTTGTATGTAGCTACTTATTTACATTTTGTCTATCTCATTAAAAAGCAAGAAATATCTTTCCATGCAGGAACTTTTTTTTTTTTTGCTTTGCATCCCTAGCACTTAGCAAGCATTTAATGAATATTATATTAGTGATATAATAAACACCTCACCCATCACCCTACTGCCTAAAATGTCAGGGCTCCAGTAAGGGCTCAGTCTTCCCTCATTCTGTACCATTTTTCCTTCCTCTTAAACTGTTCACTGTCTCAGGACTTCTCTCCTAGACATTATATGTATGATCTCCTAGGTCCACCACACTTGCTAATCTAGCAGGTTAGATACAGAAGCCATTTTGACCTGTTTGGGCCTTCTTTGCTCCGACAGAGGAGAGGCTTAGTCTTCATAGACTTGGGGATTCATATCATCCTTCCAAAAGAGTAGAACTGTCTTGGGTTGGAAATCAAGAGCAGAGACTGATTCCTATTCTGCTTACCCCCATACCCTCTCTATCCAGCCTTCAGTAGCTTCAAGACAAAAGGTGAGGGATGAATCAGGACCCTGTTGGGTTTTTCTTTTTTTTTTTGTTGGGGGGCAATTTTTTCTTTTACTTTTTTTTTTTAAGTGAGGCAGTCGGGGTTAAGTGACTTGCCCAGGGTCACACTGCTAGTGAGTGTTATGTGTCTGAGGCTGGATTTGAACTCAGGTCCTCCTGACTTCAGGGTCTGTGCCCTATCGGCTCCACCACCTAGCTGCCCCACGGCAATTTTTTACCTTTTGTTTTAGCCTAGAAGTTTCCTCCTCCCGAAAAATCAGTACTGGGACCTGTAGAACTAAAGGTGTCCCTCTCCCACTTGACAGAGCAGGCATTCTAGCTCCCTTCCATTAACTTTGTCCCTACTTTTCTATGTTTTAAAGAAGTGTGGGTCAATAGGGAAGGATGTGCTTACCTAAACTGTGGCAGCCAATAATATCTTAGAACAAGTTGCTCTTTCTAGTTTTGCTGCATTGCTGAGTTAAAAACATCTCCTTTCCCCATCCCCACCCCCATCCTTTAGGGGCAATGTAAATCAACTATGTAAATCCTTTTTGTCTATTAGCTAACCAGGTGTCCCTCATTAAAACTCAGTTTCTAACAAGTGTCTCACTTCCCATCTCCAGCTTTATAATATTCAGAGCACACCAAAAAATAATACACCCAGAAGCAGCTGTGGCATTTAAATTATTTTTATTAGTGAGACTTTAAAAATGGGGAGTGGGTTGCAGAATTGGCAGGCCCTACTGATAATAAAGCTCCAGGTTCATTCCATCATGGATCTCATCTGACAGTAGGAGTCATGGAATCTGAAGAGTTGCATCCTTAACCTCCTCAAATCTTTCCCTTTCCCCCACTCCCTCTGCTGTGGTATATACCAGCAGCTGTGATATTTACTCCCCAAGAGTTAAGTCCTTTCTGGTCCTCAGTTGCTAGAGCAGGATGGGAGAAGGGGAGCAAAGAAAAGAATGTTCCCCGACAACCTTCAGGCCCTATAATCTCTTAAGAGATATCACGTAAAGGATACAGTCACCCAGGGAAACGTGGTCCTTGAAGATTGTGTACCTGGAATGGAAAGGATAGATAGTTAGCAATGCCAGCGCCATCATACCTCCCTCCTTTTCAAAAAGAAGGGGCCTTACGTCTGAGTACAGAATCTAGGTTTACCCACCCCATACCCTGACATCAGCCTCCCCACCTTACACCTGAGTCAGCCCTGCCCGCACCCACCATTTCTTCAGAACAATCTTGTTCCAACGGGTGCCTGTCTGAGCCGCAATCAGTTTTTTCAGGTCTCCTATCGTGTCATCCGTGCTGGGCATACGTTAAGGGAAAGCAGAGGGCAGACCAGGGGACGCCAACCGCCCCCCCCCCCCCCGCTCCCTAACCCTCCCCTCACCCCCACCCGACCTCTGCGCCTTCCCACCAACAGGATACTTGCACTTCACGCGGACCTTCTTGCCCAGCCGGTCGTTACACACAACCTCGATCATGGTTCTGGGGACCACAACGGATCTGAAAAGTCTGGGGTCGGGTCTTTCTTCCAGCCCACCCGGCCTCTTTGCCGGCTCTCACCCCTGTTCTTGTCCCTGCTTGTGACCCGGAACAACGTCGGTCCCTGGCCCTAAACACTCGGGTAACCTCGCCCAGCCCCTGTCCCAGGTCTTCACCCCGGACACCCCTGACCTCGCTGGTCGGCCCGTGGCCCTGGCTGTGACTCGGTATCCCTCGGCCTCCCCGCTCGGCCCTCGCCCCTAGCTGTGACTTTGAACACCCCCGGCCTCCCCGCCCGGGCCCCTGGTCCCGGCCCCAGTCGCAAATTCTCACCCGTCCGCCTCCAGACACAGCCCCTTCCTCACTTCGCACGACAGCACCGCCCGCACTTTACGGCCACCGGAAAGCGGAAGCGGAAGCTCGACGCTGGTTGCGATGGCGACGGCTTCGGAGTTGCCGGACTGGCTACTTGTGGAGATTCTGTCTTTCGTGCCTCTCCGAGACCGGCTCCGGAGCTCCAGGTGCGGCTCTGCAAGGCCCCGACCCCCAGTGATGCCTCCTCCCCTCTCTCCTGAGTTCTCCGGGGCGGGGCTGGGGGATGGGGGGCTGGGACGGGGTCCTTGCGGCGCTGGCTTTGACTGCCCCTGTCCACCCTCCTCCCCAGGGTGTGTAAGCGCTGGCGGAGGCTGATGCTGGACAAGGCTCTCTGGAAACGCTTGGATCTGAGACCTTACAGGGTAAAACCGAGACCTGGTGTTTGGGGACGATCTACCCCGGGCTGGCGGGGACTGGGGCTCTTGTTTTAGGTCTCCTTGGGAAAGGGCTGGGCCATCCCCCGTCTTCCCCCCACAGGTCGGTCCCAAGGTGCTGTGGCAGCTGCTGCGGCAGTACTTGGGCTCGGGGCTGAGGACGCTCAAGGTGCGAGGCCGCCTGCTCTCCGTGCCCCGGGCCCCGCTGCTGTCCCCGGCCCTGCTGCAGGAACTGGGGAAGCGCTGCCCGAACGTGGCCTGCCTCAGCCTCCTGGAAGAGGACCTCCGCAAAATCCCCTTCTCCTGCCTGCCACGTTCACTTCGGTGCCTGGAACTTCAGTCGTGTGAGCTCCCCCAGGCCTGGTTTCCGCCGGGGAATGGCCCCTCAAGTCTGCCCCACCTCGAGCACCTGGTGCTGGACCAGATCCCGGCCTTCTCGGACTCGCAGCTACGGGCCCTGCCTCGGCAAGGGGCGCTGTGCTCCCTGGTGCTGAGGGTCACCTACAGGGTGACCCACCAGGGGCTTCGAGACGCCCTGCCTGGCCTCAGTCACCTTCGGCGGCTGGAGCTGTGTGGATGCTCCGTGCCTGCTGATGGGGCCCTGCAGGTCATAGGAGGCTTCCTGCCCAGACTTCGGGAGCTCAGGGTGACTGTGGCCGGGCTCACAGCCAGGGGGCTGGCCAGCCTGGTGGGGATGCAGGCCCTAGAGACCCTGGGCCTCCTGGGACCACCCCCTACCCCAGATAAGCTTTCAGCCAAGGATATCCTCCCTTTCTGTCTCTTGTTGCCTAACCTCAGAGTCCTCAGCCTTCAGGGCATGGGACTGGGGTCAGCAGATGAGGCTCTTCTTAGGGAGGGACTGGCCCACTGTATGATCACTGTTGGGGAGCTCCCCTTGGAAGGCTGGGGACTGAGAGGCCTAAGTTGACAGCCCCTCGCATCTTCAGACCAGAAGAATTCAGGGTCCACTCAGATGCTTGAGGTAGTGGAGTTAGGGCTCTCTACTGCTTTGTGACTTTGGGCAAGCTGTTTTCCCCTCTCTGCACCAAAGTTTCTTAATCTGCAAGCCAACGAGGTTGGCTTTGAAAATCACTTAAATCCCTTCTAGCTCTGAATCCTATATTCTTAAACAGAACTCGGAGTTCCAGGATCTTCAGACGTTTATACTATGGAGTTCAGAAAGGGCTGAGGGTTGGGAGGCTTCTCAGCATCTCCCTCCTATTTTTGCTCTCTTTTCTCTACTTCCACTGTCATCCTTTCTCCCAGGGAAGGCACCCTTATTCCTTGGATATTTACGGGCAAACGTTGCCCAAGAGTGAGTTTGATAGAGCAGGTTTGGAACATTTCAACCTCTCTGAATTTTTTATAATGGCACTCAAGATTCTCAAAGGGTGGAATGAGGATGCAATAGTGGAGCTGATGGTTAGGATCTTCCCTGGCTTCCTGGCTGGGGTTGGTTGCTGCTTTTGTCCTTCTTGGCCATCCTATTCTCACTTCTTGGATTGGCTTTGAACAAAGCAGCCTAGCTAGAAGGTACCAGTACTTTTCTTTCTCATCTTCCTTTTCTTAGGACCTGGGGGAGGGGAGATGCCCCAGCTATGCTCCACTTCACCCCCTATTTCCTTGCCACTTGAATTGGAAAACAATGCCCTAGAAACTTTCACCCTTTCTGAAATGTCTGCCCTGGGGCCTGCTGTTGTGATAGATGTACACCCACACGCACACACCCTCATGTGGCCATCTTCTGATAGGCTCACCTGTAGCCTTGCAGCTATAAGTATACCTACCCCATGTGTTTCCTTTCTGAAACCATAAAATCATTCCTGCTGTGCCTTCTGCATTAGAATGTCAGCTTCCTGCAGACTAGGGCAGTCTGTTTTCATATTCCCAGTGCTTAGCAGTGATACTGTAACAAAGGCTTTTGAACACAATCATTCCTTCAAAAAACACTGGATCTTTGGCCCAGCTCTTCATACAAAAATGTCTCATGCCTCCAATTCCTGCATTATTCACCAACTAGGTTTTTGTTTGACGTCAAACTGGTATCTCGGTATCCTGGGCTTTGTTTTGGAGACCTGTTTAGCTGGACCTGCTGGTTTGGGGCCAGAGAGAATTTTTCCTGAGCCACTTGAGTTAGGCCAGAATCTCTGAAAGAGTTCATCAATTTGTCCACCAACAGTCATTTATTAAACATATACTATGTGCCAGCACTAGGGATAGAAGAAAATGATGGACTAATTCAGAGCCAAAAGTGAGACCCTGCTCTTAAGAGCTTACACCCTGTATAAAAATACAACACATACACATATAAGTAAATTAAGTCATTGTCATCAGAACTGGAAGAGACCCTGAAATTACCTTAACTTTAAGTAGATGACGTATTCAGTCAGTCAGCAAACTGACTTCCTAGGCTTATGGACTTATGGAGAAGGGGGCAGGATAGGGAAGGCCAGGAGATTATAAAACCCATTTCCCGTGATTTAATCACATTGATCTGCAGAGTAAAAGGGTGTCAGAAAAGTCTAATGTGGCTGTATAGGGAATTCCTCAGTCCAGGCTGAAGAATGCCCTCAAAAGATGGAGGTCAGAGCACCTGGCAGCAAAGAAAGATGGAGTAACTTATTCCTCCTTAGAGATACCCCTCCCTTGCCAAGATCCTGAAGGAGATGGAGCCACTGGTAGATGTCAATGGATATTAGTGGAGAGAAGCAATAATGAGCTGAAAATCAGATGTCTACACCCCTCTCTATGTTTATGTCTACCTGAAAGACAAGTAGGAAACAAGATTGGGAGAAATAGGAATTTGAGGAGTTTGCTGTCCTGGAGTGATATTCTGAGTTTGGGTAGGTGTGCCGGCCGCGCCGTGCACTCTCCTCCTAACAGGAGCAGGCTGTCAGGGTCATACTTACCAGCCTTCAGAGCCTACCCAGATAAACATAGAGAGGAGCCGATCGGGAGGTGCAAGCACTCGGACTTTAATCAGAGACCATCACAGCAAACCAAGCAGGAGAGCAAGAGAGAGCCCCGGCTCCTACTGCCCCTTATATACTTTACTAACTCCTCCTCCTCAGTCTGCCCTCAGTGATTGGGCATAGGTCCAGATACCGGAAGGAGACTTCTGGGGTTAGCGCTGCACCAAAGGAGAGGACATGACAAAGGAACCTAGGTTCAGATACCGGAAGGAGACGTCTGGGGTTAGCGCTGCACCAAGGGAGAGGACGTGACAAAGGAAGCTCGTTCTCTGCCGTCCCACTCCCACGTGGCACAGCCCCCTGCCTCAGGAGCACATGCTCCGGTTACTTCCCTGTATCCTGTACCTACCCCAGTTCACCACAACTCCACCTGGCACAGCCCCCTGCCTCGGGAGCGTGAGCTCCAGTTACTTCCCCGTATCCTGTCCCTACCCCAGTTCACCACAACTCCACATGGCACAGCCCCCTGCCTCGGGAGCGTGAGCTCCGGTTACTTCCCTGTATCCTGTCCCTACCCCAGTTCACCACGTGGCCTGTAGCCATCATCGGACGATCCCTCACAATTCCCCCTTTTTGTTTAATCAAGGGGGCGGAGACGAGGTCTCAAGACTAGGGCCTCGGTTTTGAGTGTCTCTAACGACCCTCTAAGAATCCTAAGGAAGCACCCCAATATAGTGGGCAGTAACAATAACAGTATAAATGCAAAGAGAGCTATAAATGCCCAATGGGTTATAAGGGAAGGGATGGGGAAAGAGGTATGCTTAATCCAATTGCTAAGGTGATGAACAATATCATCAGTCTCGTGCTGGTGCCAAGTGTCAGATATGTTCCGCGCTAGTCTAATTAACACCCGCAAGGCCTGGAGTTCAGATGAAAGATTTGTAGCTTGAATCCTGTAAGATAATCTCAGGAGTAGCCTCTTCCCACGTCAGGATTTGTCTTTGAGCACCTTCTACCAGGATCCATCTCTCTACTCCCGACTCCTCCTGTTGCCGCAGTGTGGCCTTGGACAGGGGTGACCAGGGCACTGGAGCTGAAGCAACCTGTGGCAGAGTCCCGATCGTGCAAAAAAGTGAAAACAGGTTACTCAACTGAGTCATGTTCTTGTCGTGATTCCTGACTGTCTTTCCTTTTCCAATTTCTCTGTCTGCGTCTCCTCTCTCGTCCTTGTCGTCTCTCCCGGGGCTTCTTCAACTCGTTTTGTTCTTCTTTCTGATACCCAGCAGCTCCGGCCATCAGGATCTGTAAGACACAAATACCCCGGACCTCTCCACAACACTACGGATGGGCCTTGCCAGCTTCCCTCATCGTCCTTCCAGAGGACTTTCTGGTTAAGAGATGGTGCATGTAGTGCTGTTTTTAAGGAGCCGGTTGAATTGCAAGTGGGTGGTGTTATTAGCTGTAGCATGCTAGGGGATAGGCCCGTGTCCCTATCTAGACAGAGAAAGTTGTATGTATATAAAGCTTTATCCATGTCTGCTTGGGTAGGCCACCACCTGGAGCCCCGACCTCCTACTCCCCCTTTTTGTTTAATAAGGGTGGCTTTCAAGGTACGATGGGCTCACTCAACAATAGCCTGGCCTGTGGGGTTATAGGGGATCCCTGTAACATGCTTAATGCCAAAGGATGTAAAGAAGGCAGTCATTTGTGTAGATAAATAGGCAGGCCCGTTGTCAGTTTTAATGACGTGAGGGATCCCCACGGAGGCGAAGCAATGGTACAGATGCTTAATAACTGATGGGGTGTGCTCCTCACTGGATACAGTGGCCATCATAAATTTGGAAAAGGTATCAATGCAGACTTGGATAGCAACATGGCCAAGGTGAGTAACATCCATTTGCCACAAGTCATTGGGGAAGAGACCACGTGGGTTAATCCCTTTTCTAGGTGAAGAGGGGAGGAAGGGAACACAGCGCACGCATCACCTCACAATTTGCCGAGCCTGTTCACGGGTTAAGCCATACAGGCGTCTCAGGGAGTTCTCGGGTAGGTGTAGAAAATCATGGGCTTGTTCGGGAGGGGTGAGGACCGGCAGTAAGGAGTACTGTAAAGCACGGTCCGCTACATCATTGCCCGCAAAAATGCCTCCTGAGGTGGACTGATGAGAATAAACATGGAGGATATAGAGGGGGTTGTTTCACTGTAACAAAATTTGCTGTAACTCACTCAGGAGAAAGGATATGGTGGAATTATGAGGTTGGAGGACAGCGTCCTCTATGCACCTAAGAACCTAGACTGCATATTGACTATCAGAGATTATGTTGATAGGCTCGGGATATTTACGACAAGCATGGAGGATGGTGAAGAGCTCATTTTTCTGGGTAGAGTCATAAGGGGTTTCTAATACTGTTATTTCCTTGGAGGCCTCATGATAAATAGAGGCCTTTCGGTTTTTTGTAGCGTCAGTGAAAACATTTGGGCCTTGAACAGGTTCTCCCATGACTTTTCGGTGGGGGGCTACCAAGGTTATTTGTTCTAGCATAGGAAGGAGCAGGCAGGAGGAATGGGGACTCATCTCAGCCCATTGGGAACAATATGCCCATGACCAATAGATTTGCATAGTGGTTTCTCGGTGTCCAGGTTCAAAAGGTAAGTAAAGTAATGGTCGCTGCCCAGACAAGTGGACGGCCCTTTGTACGGCAGCCAAGGCTAGTTCCCCTAATGTCTCATAATAATTTGGCAGCACCTTGTGGGCCTTCTTTGCATATACAAATTCTAACAATTTGGGACCTTGGTGTATAACACAAAAAGGGCTCTGTTGATTGACCAAGGAGACCTCTATTGTGCTTGTGGGGTCCCATCTGGCGGTCTGAGCCTGGGCAGCAAGTGAGAGTATTTGGGACACTGCTGCCTTAGCAGCAGGAGTCCATGCCCGAGGGGAGTTCAAATCTGAATTTCCTTTTAAGATATCATACAAGGGCTCCATCACAGCAGGAGGAATGGGCTTGCGGGCCGGAGCCATTGGATCTGTCCCACTAACTTTTGGAAGTGATTCAAAGTGGTTATCTTATCAAACGTAGTTCAGGAATTTGATTGATAATAGAAACAGCCTCCATACGAAGGCCAAGGTATGTGAGTGGGTAATTTTGTTGGACTTTTTCAGGGGCCACCACCAGACCATAATGAGCAAGTGCAGAGACGGTTTCTTTTACTAATCTTGCTAGTGCCTCATCAGTGCTAGTGGCCAATAAGATATCATCCATATAATGAAGTATTGTAGCCTTAGGCCATTTGTCCCTAATAGGGTCCAGTACTCTTCCCACATAAGCCTGACATAAGGTGGGGCTGCAGCACATTCCTTGGGGCAGGACCTTCCATTGATATCTCAAATCTGGTCCTGCATTATTGGTAGTGGGTATGGTAAAAGCAAATCTCTTTCTGTCTTCTGGGGATAATGGGATGGAGAAAAAGCAATCTTGGATGTCTATGACTGTTACAGGCCATCCAGAAGGCACTAGATTAGGGAAGGGGAGGCCAAGTTGTAGGGTTCCCATGGGCTCTAGGGTGGCGTTAACTGCCCTGAGATCTATTAGCATTTGAAATTTCCCTGATTTCTTTTTTATTACAAACACTGGGCTGTTCCAGGGGCTGGACGTGGGCTCAATGTGTCCCACCTGTAACTGGTGCTGCACTATATCACGTAAGGCCTGGGCTTTCTCTGCAGGGAGGGGCCATTGGGGTACCCAGACTGGGTTATTAGATCTCCATGTTAGAGGAGTGGGTCCGATACAGGAAGTGTTTTCTTGTTGCCCAACAGCCCCAATCAAAAATCCTGCGGGGGGGGGTATATAAACAGATGCCCCACAAGCCTTCAGAATATCCCTTCTCCATAAGGTGTACCTCAAACCAGCAACCACTAGGGGTCGGACGGTTCCTTGCTTGTCCGCAAACCGCCAGGGCAGATCCTCTGCTGATACCCATGCTTGTTGCACCCCTCCGACCCCGTTGACCATTGTGGCATCTGTTTGGACTGACCAAGATGGGGGCCAAAATAGTTGTGAAATGACAGAACGATCGGCCCCTGTGTCTAATAATCCCTTGAAGGATCGCCCCTTAATTTGCATAGTTGCCCATGGCTTACTGTGTTCAATACGTTGTATCCAATTAATATCATCATCGTGTCCATCCAACAGGGGGAGGGCTTGAGCCAATACCTCCCCTTTGTCTATGTAAGCCGCCGAATCACGTGGGTTAGTTACTATAATCTGTTGCTGGGGTTGGTGAGCAATAACCGTGGTGTGGACAATAACGGGGGTATATAATGAAAGGCCCACCACGAGGGCTGCTTTGAGGGCAGAATCAAGCCCAGCCACTGGCACTATGGTTATATCTCTGGGGTCGATCCGGAAATTCCCTTTACTGTGAAGGGGAAGCCAGACCCACTGGGTAGAAATCGGAGATATTCCTGATACAGCCTCGAAGGCGCTCTCTGAGGGGGTTGGGCTTCCTTCTGGTAAGCTTGTTGAGGGGCCCTCAAGGGGCCCCTTGCCCCGTTTCCCGACTTTGACTTGCGGCACTCCTTAGCATAATGACCGGGTTTGTTACAACTGTGACAAATTACCTTGGGACGGGCACCACCAGGTTTCTGGCGACATTGCACCTTAAAATGACCAGCTTTGCCGCATTGATAACATAATTTAGTCTCTTTTGTTTTCATCCCTTCTAAGACCCCTTTCGAAATGGCCGCCGCGAGGGCGTCCAGTTGAAAGGCACTGGATCCGATATGCTCACATCTCTTTATCATCTCCTCTAGGCCAGCGTCACCATCTAATGTAAGCATAGCCTTCTGGCAGTTCACGTTGGCATTGTCCTGTGCCAGCCTCTGTACAAGGAGGCTGGCGGCTTCTCCCCCGCCCACGGATCTCTCAACAGCCACCTGTAGGCAGGCCACAAAATCCGGGAAGGGTTCATCAGGACCTTGTTTAATCTTGGTCATGGAGGGCCTTTGTTTCCCCGAAGCCTCAATCTTACTAAAAGCCCGTTGGGCACATTGGGAGACAGCTGCATACACTGCCACGTCATATCGCATCTGATCTTCATTTTTCTCATATCTCCCTGCCCCCACTATCTTTTGAAAGTCATCTTGGGGAGTGCGACTCTGCATATCTCTAACAAAGTTCTTTGCGGTATCCGCAAACAGAGTCATCCATTGCAGGGTCTCCCCTGGCTTAAGGCATACTTTAGCAATGGTTTTCCAGTCATTCGGGGTCAATATATGACTATCAGCCAGGAGAACCATCAATTCCCTGACATAGGGGGATTCAACTCCATAAGTATTCACTGCCTCTTTTAACTCCTTCAATTTCTCCCATTCTAGAGGGGCCCAGGTCCTCCCTTCATCAGTCTCAAACACCTGGCAGGCATCTAGCCATGCCTTGGCGTCCATGTCTCCGTCTGCCACTGCCTTCTGGAGCATTTGTCCTAGTCTGGTTGGGGGGTCCCCCATGGCCCCATAAGAGGGAGCTGGAGGAGCAGACGGGACGTTCTCCTCAAAAGGGAAGTCTGGAGGAGGGGGCCACCCCTCCGTGTGATAGGAGGAGCTTTCTTTGCTTTGCTCTTCCTTTCTCTCCCCCTGCCTACTCTCCCACTTCCTGTTTCCGGTGTCTTCTGCCTCACTTCCTGATTCTTCCTCACCACTGATTTCTGCTCCGCCCATCTTAAAGGTGCAGCTAGTCTGAGTAGTTTTGTAACGTTCTTCCCCCCTCGGCCTTTCTGTTTGAGCTCCAATCTCAACTCGCAAGGGATTGCGACTCGCGCCTTTCAGAGTGCTGTGAATCACTTGGTAAATCAGATGGTGTCTTTCCGGAATGGTCCCCGGATTTGTTCCCTCGTAGGAGGCCATCTGATTACCAACTGTTTCCCATCTAGTTAGGTCAAGGCCGTTATACTGTATCCAGGGGCAGCATTGCTGGATTGTATCCACGAATGCCCTCGCAGTTTTCAGATCTATCTCTACCCCGGCTTTTCTTTTCCTAGCGCCTCCCGATCCGGGACCTTAACAAACGTCTGTCCCATCTTCCTTCCCTCACCCTGTTGGCTACGGGTCTTGTCTCTCTTCCCACGACCAGGCCAGCTGATCAGCGGAGCCCCTGACCTATTTCCTCCTGCCCCACGTTGGGCGCCACTTGTGCCGGCCGCGCCGTGCACTCTCCTCCTAACAGGGGCAGGCTGTCAGGGTCATACTTACCAACCTTCGGAGCCTACCCAGATAAACATAAGAGAGGAGCCGATCGGGAGGTGCAAGCACTCAGACTTTATTCAGAGACCATCACAGCAAACCAAGCAGGAGAGCAAGAGAGAGCCCCGGCTCCTACTGCCCCTTATAAACTTTACTAACTCCTCCTCCTCCTCAGCCTGCCTTCAGTGATTGGGCATAGGTCCAGATACCGGAAGGAGACTTCTGGGGTTAGCGCTGCACCAAAGGAGAGGACGTAACAAAGGAAGATTGCTCCCTGCCGTCTAACTCCTGCGTGGCACAGCCCCCTGCTTCGGTCCGGTTACTTCCTAATATCTTGTCCCTACCCCACTTCACCATGTGGCTTGTAGCCAACATCGGACAACCCCTCACAGGTAGGGACCTAGGGTGGCTCATTGGTTAGGCTCTTCCTTACACAGGTTTGGGAAGCATAAACTTATGAGACTGCTTTTACATTTAGTAAAGGATAGAAGATGAGAAGTTGTAAGGTTTGAGTGGCAATCATGGACTTAAACACTAAAGGCTGTTTTGCTTCGAAGACAGGAATTATTGGGAGCCCAGACATTCAGGAGTCCTATAGAATCATTTCCCCCTCCCCCCCAAAAAAGTGTGGCAAGATTGAGGGGGAGATTGTTATAGTTGATATATGACTGTTTGGTTTTCTCTGCTCTAACCCCAAGGCTTTTCTGTTTAAGTTAACCCTAAAAAAAAAATCCTCTAAATTTGGTCTGTTTCAGAGAGCAGGAAACTGGAGCCAAAAGGCAAAACAGGGTTTGCCCGAGGTCACACTATTGCAAGACTCTAGTGGCCTTTCTCACATACTATGGACAAATTGTGGGGGAGGGAGCAGTCTAGAGGGTAAGTTTGCCTTTATCTCTTTGCTAAGACCACATTTGTCTTAAGACCCTCAAAACCCATATTCTGACATCAACAAGCTAGGGGTGGGGGTAGTAATGTAATTAACTTGGATTAATAACAGTCACAAAAATCCCTATTATACTATTACAGCCAGAAGGGACCCTGGAATCGTTTCTCAGAGAATTTAACTGACTCGTCCAAGATTACACAGCAAGTTAATATAAGAGTTGGGGCTAGAAGTCAGGTCTCTTATGTCCTAGCCTATTTCTCTTCTATATCATGCTGCCTCTGACTCCTTTCAGTGATCCTACGTTTGTTGTCCTAAGGAAAACCATCCAAAACCAGCACCATCTCCAAAGAGCCAATTCTTTGAGATCCTTAGTGGGAAGATGATCCAAGTGCCATATGCCTACTAGGAAATTTCTTTGTGTATACTCTTTTTCAGAGTGTGAATAAAAATGTTAAAATTTTAGGACAATTCTAGTACCAGTCTCCATGTAACTTGTCACTCTTCACCTATAGAAATGATAATGACTCACCTCAGCACTCTCTTATGACTGAGCCTGAAGACAGGGAAATAAGGACAACTGTTCATAAGCAGGGAAAAGGGACAAATGACATTAAGCAGAATTGGATGAGTTTAGCTTAGGAGAACTTTCTGAAGCAGGGAAAATGTTAGATTTAAGCAGGAAAGGGAAAGTGGGGCAAAAGACAGGTCCTATGGCAGAGTGGAGTGAATAAAGCTATTTGTTGAAGTGATAGGAATGACCAATGTGGAGTCTGGGGGAACTAAAAGAATGGCTTTGATTGTGGTATGGTGTGGTGAAATGAAAAGACTGAAATTCTCAAACACTGCATTCACATGCATATCTGGGCTCTGCCACTTAACATTATTTGTGTGACCTTTGCCTAACAATTAGAGGCACTGAAAGGTAAAATGGGCTGCTCGGAGAGAAGGTGGGTTTCTCCTGGTAGATCTTCAAGCAGTAGCAGTATGACCATTTGCTGGGTATGAGAAAGCGCTGATTATCTAGAATATGGGTTAGTAGACTATATAACAGCAAAGATCCAACTCAAATTCTGTGAAACTGATTAATCTCCCCTAGCTTCAGTCTGTAAATGAGTTAGACTAACTGGCCTTTGAGTTTTCTTCCAGATCTACTTCTATGTCTTCATTCTAGCATGTATTTTAATTTAGATACTGACCCCCAATAAAATAGTACTCTAAATCTCATACTGAGTCCTTTAGTATGAAATGTAATTACCAAAGTTTTAGAAATTCTCACTTTGTCCCTGATACAGTAGTAAGTAGCAGAGGAGGGAATGAACACCGTTGCTCTAACTCCAAATCCAATTTCTGTGTTGTACTGTTGTACCTCTGAACTTTGCTTTACTTTCCCCATTTTACCTCACCCTACTATATGCTCTGAGGGGGAGGGAACAGGAGAGGAAGAGCGTAAAGATATTCCCGATCCTGTTCAGTTTCCAACTTTAGGAACATGAGGTGGTGAATCAGAAGTGACCCTGACACTCTTATGCTCTTGATCTGAGTGCCCTCTGGCCCAGGTTGTTCCTAGGTCCAATAACTCTCTTCATGTTGAGGAATCTTTCCATTTAGACTTTCCAAAGAAAACATTTATAAATTAAAAAACAAGACCTGTTTGTCCTTTCTTATGCCTTTACCCTAGAGCAGAGAAGTTCACTACCCTCAGGCCAAGGTAGAGGAGAAGCTTTTGAACCTAGGGCTCTTAACTAATGTGTCTTTATTTGGTTGGTGAGGTGTGGGCTCAACACCTTCAGGTCAGCCATCAGTGACTAAGGCCCTTCCAACGGCTCTCCAGAGAAAATCCCATGTTCACATATGCTCAATGCTTCCATGGCCCAAGAAAAATAAATGCTCACTGCGCCTGGAGAGAGTCTGGCTGTGGAGGAAAAGGACGCTGGTCACTTATCTGTCCTTCCCTCCCAAGACGTATCTCAAGGCTTGGTGGCAGGGGCCGGGACCGCAGACCTGTCCCTCCCGGAGTTCCTGCTGCCCACCTCTGCCGGCGGCTGCACCCGTTCGGCACACTGCAGGAATCGCCGAACGTGCTCGGAGCAGTTGCCCACGGCAGCTTCATTCTGTCGGAGACACAGCTCAAAGGCTTCAAAAGGTTCGGCACATTCCTGACGGATCTGACGAATGATAGGGCTGGACGGAGGGTGGGGGAAGGGGAGAGAAGGCTACAAGTCAAGAACCACAGTCCTGGCCCCTTCCTCTGGGCAGCCGCAGCTCCGCTTCCCTCCCGTCTGCCCCGCTCAGACTCACTGGGAAGAGGTGCACTGGGCGATGCTCATCTTCAGGTGGTAGCAGTCCCGCTGCCACGACTGCGGCTTGGCAGCCACGCACTGGCCATACTGCTCCAGCTCCCTGCTGCAGTAGCGCGCGGTCACTTCCAGGGCCGCCTGCCTGCAGGAGGGAAGTGAAGGAAGTGGAGACGGTGCCGCCCAGAGGGCGGGGCGTGGGGGGGGGGACGAAGGTGAGGCCTAGGGAGGTTCCACGAGGCCCAGATAGCGCGAGCGTATCTATCATTCCCCTGGTCTCCGTAAGCAAAAGAGTGGCGAGGAGGGGAGGGAGGGCCCCGGGGGGGGGGGGGCCTGGGGGGGGGGGGGGGGGGGGGGGGGCCCCCGGGGGGGGGGGTTCCTGGGCTCGGGAGGCCGGACGAGGCTCCCGCTACTCACATGTCGTTGCCGCGGCAGGTGCTGGAAAGGCCCTGATTCCTCCCCTTCCGGTCACGGCCGGTGATGGCAGCGTGCAGGAATAGCGGAAGGGGGATACCGGAAGTGAGCCGGCGTCTGTTCCCGGAAGCGAGTGCCGAGCTGAGGAAGATGGCGGCGGCGGCGGGCTTGGATGGCGGTAGCGGCTCGTGTCGGGGGCCGCCGGCTGCGCGGCCGCTTCTGCTGCCCGCAGGGCCTGCACTAGTGGCGGGCGGGGACGAGCTGGTGGCCGCAGTGTGGCCGTACCGGCGCCTGACCCGCCTGCGCCGCCTCACGGTGCTGCCCTTCGTGGGGCTCCTCTACCCGGCCTGGCTGGGTGCCGCGGCCGCCGGCTGCTGGGGCTGGACGGGCGGCTGGACAGAGGTCCCGGAGGCGGCTCTGCTCACCCTGGCAGCCATCGGGCTCGCGCACGCGCTCACTGTTCTCTCCGGCCACTGGTCCGTGCACGCGCACTGCGCGCTCACTTGTGCTCCGGTAAGGGCGCGCGCGTCCGGGCGTGGGGAGGGGGCAGAGTAGGGTGGACTTTGGCGAGAAGGGAGCGGGGTGGGAAGGCCAAGCGCCTCCCCCAAGGCCACGTCTTTCCCCGCCTTCCCCTGGGCCACGTCCTTCCCTGCCCGCTCTGCCTGCCGTGCTGCTGGAACTCTGCTCACACCGGCAGTCCCGGTCTCCCTCGAGCCTCCACGTGTTGTGTGTAGCCTCCCTCAGCCCGCATCCCCGGGCCCACCTGGCTCGGCATCTTCGTGATCTCAGCAAGGGCTTTCACCTTCCTCTGGCCTGCCGTGGGGGCACGTCACCCCTTGCATTTCAGATGTGTGGCTAGGGTTGTGGCATGGGGAGAGCTGGGTGAGGGAGACCTTCCTGGCCCAGGGCCAGGGCTCTGGCAGTGCTGCCACTTCTAATCCTAGTTTAATTAGTCTTCCTCCCCGTGTCAGAGCTGTTGTGAGACAAGGTACTGTGCACGTGTGTGTTTGTAGCTGGTCTCCAGTAACTTTACTCTTGGCATCCACACACCTGTTCTGCCTCATGGATGTCTCAGGTGTCTTGGGGCAGGCGTATGTGGCATTAGTCATGAATACTCACTGGCCTCTTGGGAGACTTTATCTCTACTCCTTAAGGCATTAGGATGAAAAAAGGAAATGCTCACCCAGAAACCAGTCTTAAGGAATTTTATATTCCTTGTTTTCAGACCAAGGGTGTATGTCCCCTAAAGGGGAAAGTTCTAGAGCTGAGAAACAAGGTAGGGGAGAAAGGTTGCCGCCAGAAGGAGCAATAGACAAGATCTTTCAGTCCTAGAGTTGCCTGGGACTACGGCACAAGAATGTGGGGGAGGGGTAGAGCTAAAAAGCTAGGACAGGTCTTTCATCTTTTTCATTTGGTTTTAAATTGGTATATTTCTTTATCTAGCACTTGACAAGATAGGACTCAACTTTATGCCTCAGATCTCTTACCTGGGACTTAAGTTTTACTGTGACTTACAGGAATATGATCCCTGCAAAGCATCCCTGGTGAAGGTGGTTCCAACTCCCAACAACGGATCAGCTGAGCTTGTAGCTTTGCATCGGGATGAGGTAAGCATCATAGACTCAATAGGATTTCTGGAGCCATATCCTTGTTGCCTGGCAGCATCCCTGTATAGGACCTTTAGCCTCCAGTTTCCCCTCCACCACATACACAGTAACCCAGGCCTGTTCCTCCAGGGAGAAGGCGGGCAGGAGGTGCTGTCCTTTGAATTTCAGAAGATCAAATACTCCTATGACAGAGGGGAGAAAAAGAAGTTCCTTCCAGTGGCATTTCCTGTGGGAAGCCCCTTTTCCTGCTACCAGAATGCCAGGGGCTTTCAGGAAGATGCAGAAATCCGAGCAGCTGAAAAGAGATATGGTACCAACAAGTGAGTTGTCTGCTCACCTTGGAAAAGTCATCTTTCCTGTCAGGGACTTCATACTTTTCCTACATACTATGAGTTAGCCCCTAGAATTCCTTGGTACCAAGCTAATCTCTACCCTTGAATTGGGTTAATATTCTTCTTTTTAGGAGTCCATCAAGTCTCTGCCTTCAACTGCTCCAGATTGATTATTGGCAGGACTCCCTTATTCCTGATGGTTCCCTTTCCATTTCACCCTGTGCACTGTCAGACTAATCTTTCCAAAGCACAGAAAGTTAGGGTGACATGTTTGAAGTCCTACCATTTGCCATACATAGCCTCTAGGTTTCATATATGCTACAGTGCCATCCTCCTGCTCAGAAACTTTTGTTGGCCCTCCATAGCCTATGAGATATCTGAACTCCTTGGCCTTGTGTATGAAGCTCCTACAGTCTGACCTTTGTCTACTCCTGCTCTCCCATACAAACCTTCATCTTTAGATGAAGCATTTATATGAGCATTGCTCATATTTCCTGCCCTTGCTTATAACTATCTGCCATGATTGGAATGTTTTATTTCCTCAGTGTTTCTCTTAAGTCTTTTCCTCCTTCAGGACCCAGCTCAAAAACCAGCTTATTCATGGAGATTTTCTGACCACTCTGTCTTTCCTTGATCCCTTTCTCCTCTGAAATCCCCAACATTCTGTACTCTTGGCACATTGTGCCCTCTGCTTCTCTTCACCGTTGAAACTCATCTCAGCAACCTGACTGAGCTCCTTGAGGGCAGGGCCCCTGTCTTCCACCGCTATCCCCAGTGCCCAGCATGGTGCTCTGCAAAAGATAGGCTTCAATAAGTGTGTGTTGGGAATAATAATAAAATGAACAGCACAGGGAGAGCAGCAGTGTTGCCATGTCTGTTCTGCCTTAGTGACTCTAGGGGCAGATTGCTACTTGCCTTTCCTAACCCTCAGTCTGAGCTAGAAGCTGGAGAGACATATCCCACAAGATTGTCTGCAGGTGGGGCAGTTGTTGTTGAAGTGGGGATTTTCATCTGATTTTGGGGGGCTGCCCTGTCACCCTTCAGAAGCCTGATATCTCCTGGTGGGGTTGGGGGGGCTGGTCTCCTTTTCAGGGCGGAGATGGTGGTGCCTGAGTTCTCGGAGCTGTTTAAAGAGAGAGCCACAGCCCCCTTCTTTGTGTTTCAGGTAAAGGTACCTCTGTTGTCTCTGAGGTTCAGCCCCTGGTGCTAGGGCTGCTGTGCATGCCCTCTCCTCTCCACTCCAATCCAACAAGCATTTATTAAGCACCTACTATGTACAGGGCACCGTGGTAAGCACTGGGGATCTAAAGACAAAATAAAAAACAGTTTCTGCCCTCAAGGAGCTTACATTCTACTGAAGCTTATATTTTCTCTGTTGTTTCACTTGGGGGAAAAAGTGAAACTTTGTTAGTTGACTCATGGAATGTTTAATGACAGGCACCTCAGCTTGAGGAATAAGTAGGCCGACTATTCTCCCCATCTCCCCACCTCCTGAATCCCTTGCCCTACCTTCCCAGGGGTCAAGGTCCCTCCTCCTGCCATAATTTTTGCAAATAAGACAAAATCAGGTCTAGGCCTAATTTCATGCTGTGTCTTCTGGTCCTCCCCAGGTGTTTTGTGTGGGGCTGTGGTGCCTTGATGAGTACTGGTACTACAGTGTCTTCACCCTCTCCATGTTGGTTGCCTTTGAGGCATCCCTGGTACAGCAGCAGATGAGGAATATGTCAGAGATTCGAAAAATGGGCAATAAGCCATACATGATCCAGGTATGGTATAGGCTGGGCTGGACTTGCTTAGCTTTAAGGACAGCTAGCTTGCCCAGGAATTTCTCTGGGCAAAGCTCAGGGGGAGGGGTTGGCAATCTTGTTGGGTATGACTAGACTTGGGACAAGATTGGAACTGTTGGTTGCTGCTTATTCAGCACCGTCCTACCTCATTCTGGCAGGTTTATCGGAGCCGAAAGTGGAGACCAATTTCCAGTGATGAGATCATACCTGGAGACGTCGTCTCCATCGGTAACATTCTGGGTGCAAAGGGTTCCAAGTTCCCAGATACAGCCTCTTCCTCCTCCCCTCTCTACTGCTGACAATCATGGATATTTAGAAATGAAAGGGACCTGAGAGATGATCTAGTCCAGTTGTCTCCTTTTCTATACAGGGTGGCAGGGGGCGGATTAAGACTTAGAGGAAGAGACTTTTAGACGGTGGCGCGTTGACCTGGTGGTGGGCTCAGAAATAGAACCCAGATGTTCTGACTGCCCTTGGTTATCCTGAGATATGTTACCCTCAGCCCTGTCCTAGGGAAAGCTGGGCCTTCTTCAGGCTTCTTCTTTGTGTATGGTGCTAGGGGAGTCATGAATCAGGTGGGCTCTGTCTCCCAGTGATAGCATCCCTCTTCTTCCCCAATAGGTCGCTCCCCCCATGAGAACCTAGTCCCCTGTGATGTGCTACTGCTGCGGGGCCGCTGCATTGTGGATGAGGCCATGCTTACTGGGGAGTCAGTACCCCAGATGAAGGTGAGGCAAGAGAAATGGAAGTCCAGGTAGGATGTGGGGATCTGGGAGACAAGTCCTAAAGATCACTGGTGATCTCATTGCAGGAACCGATTGAGGACCTGGACCCAGACCGTATGCTGGATGTACAAGCTGATTCACGCCTCCATGTTATCTTTGGGGGCACCAAGGTTGTGCAGCATATTGCTCCCCAGAAAGCCACCACAGGGCTGAAACGTAGGTTTCTCTCTACCTTCCACATTGGATGACCTACCTGGTCAGGCATTTCTTCTCCCCCCCTCCGGTGAAAATGGCTTTTGACTGATGTGGTTTCCACCTGCCTCCAGCTTGGGTCTGACTTTCACCAGTTTTGGTCTGTGACTCAAAATCTGTGAAGCATGGGTTTAGGTGTGTGTACATGAGCAATAATGAGGTGATCTTTGAATTACCAACATGTCTGTTCCTCCACAGAGCTATATAAGGATAATCAAACATTGGTTTTTTCCTACTCCTCATTGTAGCTTGTATTTTTCTCACCATCTAAGTGATAATGTAATATATAGAAAGTATGTGACAGTTGGTAAAGGCACTGGGTAAATACAGGCTATGCAGATCAGAGGGGGTTCCTCCTTCCTGTAGAGATCACACAACCTT